AGGGGACCGCAGCCCGCCAGGGAGAATGGCGGCTCTGTTCATCTCCCGGCTCGGTGGCGCTGGGCGGCGGGGGGCCCCCGGGAGCTGTGTGGGGCTGCGGCAGAGCCCAGTCACTTCCCACACATACACACCCAGTATAGTATGGGGAGTGTTTTTGGGGTGTAAATGAGCCTTAAAATTGCTGATACTGCTGCTTCCTGCCTCCGAGGCTCAGCGAGGGCTGCGACCACTCTTGAACTCAGAACAGCCCTGCCTGCCTCTGGGATGTGTACCCCAAAGACGGCTGGGTGTCCCTGCGGAGGTGGGGACGCTAAAGAGGAGGCAGGGATCCCCAGGGCATCATCCCTCAGGGCTCGCCCAGAGCAGTCCCACAGGGAGTGCTGTACAGGGCACAGGGCACAGGCTGGCACGCGAGGTCAGGGCCAGTCGCTTGCCGTCGTGTTTCTTCTTGTGCCAGGTTTATTTTACCAGTCCCCGAGCAGGGGCAGGGCAGGACAGTGGGCACAGCCCCGTGGGGCCGAGGCGGGGGGGGAACGGGGGCCAACGGCTGTTTTGGTTCCTTAGCCGGAGAGGATCATAAATGACGCAAGTTCCCAAAAGAGCCGGGCGGGGGGGCTGTGAGGGATGTGTCAGCCGGCGAGAGGCAGCCAGATGTGCTCCAGCAGATCCAGGGCTGCTGCCCCGAGCTGATTCTGCCAGAGCACAGCCCCATCGACCACCCCAGGGCGGTTTTCCGCACCGTGAGTGCGCGCACCCGGGGTTGGCATCGCCAGATTCCCTGTCCCACAGTGTACTTCGGTTCTGTTAGTGTCTCTTCAGTATCCCTCAGGCACCCATGCCGCCTAGCCAGGCTTTTGGTAAGCCCACAGGTGTTTGGTGGGGAATCTGGGGATGCTCCTAGGAAGACCGCCAAGGAATGCAAGCTGGGGCAGGGTCCCCAAGCTGCCACCCTTTCAGCATGAGATGTGGTCTGGGTGGACCTCAGCGACCACAGCTGAGCACTGCAGTATGACCAGCAGCATGCAATCCAGAACCTTCACAGTGAGCTGCCAGCCCTAGGGGCACCCCGCCCTCGCCCCCCCCTCCCGCGGCAGCAGGGCTTATTTGGCCCCAGGATGGGGGAGCCATGAGATGAGCTCTGGACACGTCTCCCAGCTTTCCCTCCTCCCCGCAGCTGTGCAGCAGATGGGCTTGGAGGAGCCCCTGCTTGGCACAGGGCCGAGGGCCCACAGGGAAGAACCGTCCCCAGTGGGGCCCCCCCGGCCCGCCGAGGCCAGAAGGGCCGAGCACATCCCCAGCCAGGAAAAACAGAGGCCCCAGCATGGAGCACACGGTGCCCCGTCGGCACACACCACAGAGCACTGGAATAACAGCCCTTGCTCCCAAGCCTGCCGCCTGCTATCAAAGGGCCCTTCTTCTGCTCGGCTTCTGCAGGGATGGGGCCGGGGGCCCATCGAGGGCTGGTGGTGAGAGGAGGCAGCTGCTCCACGCCGGCGGGCACTGGCTGCACCCAGTCAGGCGCCGGGCACGTCCCGCCCCATCACCCTAGCCCAGCTGGGGGTCCCTGGGGCGAACGGGTATATGCCACTGCCAGGCCCAAGCGGTGTGGGGGTCACTTGGGTCGAGTCGTGGCGAGCAGTG